CGACACCACCACCACCACCGCCGCCGCCCCCATTCATTCCAATCCACCTCGGCACTGCACCACAAGAAGGCACTTCGGGGTGGCGGTGCGCGCGGAGCAGAGCACCGAGACCAACCCCGCCGCCTCCCTCCCCATCCAGCAGCATATCATCCACCCGTGGGAAGTGAAGGTGTGGGGATGGGGGGAGCATGGGGGCAATCGAATCTGGCGCCAAGACGACAGTAACCCCCCATCCCCCCTTTTTCCCTCCCCGGACGTCGGCGGCGAGGCAAGACGCAAGACAGAACGGAGTCGTCGGGCGAAAAGGGGGTGGGGCTGGGGGGAGAATAAAGGCGCCCCGCCCCATTTGAAATAGTCGCTGCTGGTACTTAAAAGATAAGGGCGAAATCGGGCCGTGCGGAAGCTTCGGAGCAGGGGCGCGGCCCGGCGCGGCTTGGCATGGCGAAGTAGAGGGGAAGGGGGGAGGGGGCGCCGCCGGCAAAAACTTGCAGACAAACAGCGGATGAGCCCCGCTACCGAAATGATAATCAAAGGACGACAAGGAGGCGGCGGCCGCCGGGCCCCGGCTGCCACAGCTGCACTGGGGTCCTCCGCTCCGCTTCGACCCAAACGAACACCGCAAAGAGAGAGAGAGAGGGGGGTGGGGGAGAGGGAGGTACTTCCCCAAAACAAATACGCCCGCGGGCCATCGTATACATAGGCGCAAGGGGAGAGGGGGGGATTTGAGGAGGGGGGCAAAGATCTCTTGATTAAATTTTTGGGCGCAATCCAACGGTGTAGCCAATATTTAAGGGCCAGTGCGCGCCGTCGACCCCGCGCCGCCGCGCAGCGTGCTGTCGACCGAAACCTCAATGGCCACCAGTAATTCGACAACGTATGACTACCGCGGAGGAATGTGTTTTTGGCGGAGTGGAAACGGCGGGGGGGGGGGGATTATACACGGCGGAGCTTTTGTCTCCTGAAATAATAACAAGGGGCGGTGAGGGTCATTGACTGCGAGGGCGCGGAGGCTTCTGTTCTACTCACCGGGGCTCTGGCGCTCCTCTGGAAGGGCGGAACGGCCTGCAACACCAACCACAAACAAAGTCAGACTCTGGGCACTATGTATATGGGGAGGACGGGTACACAAAACGACTCGAGAGGGCAGAAATGCGAACACGTCTAATAAGCGAGAGGCAGCACAGAAGCGAGGATGAGCGAGCCCGGGCGAGCGAGTCGGACAGACACTAACAGGGGACGCGCCCCGCTAAGCCCACCAGATTCCAGAGGCTAATGAAGCTCTAGCCGCGTCGCCTCCAGCAAGGGTTCCAGGACGGACGAGCGCGGCCCCGCCGAGGGCCCCGCCCCCCTGCACACCCCTCAGAACCCCGACCCCGACATCAGTCGGCAAGCCAAACGCACTTCACCTTCCACCGAGCTGGTGGCAAATCGTCGGTTTGCCGCACCCATGCGCGCTGTCAATCGGCACCGTGCTGTACACCGCGTAGGGCATGACCCCCCCCCCCCCCCCCCCCCCCGAGTCCGCGACACGCCCAAGCGACATGCGCGACGGGCGGCACCGTTAGCAGCATGGGCGCGAGAGAAGCACATCGGCAGAGCGGCCGCCACGGCCCAACGGTCCGCACTTCCCGTGTGCACCCCCCCCCTTCGCCTCAATCACACCGGCAAAAAGTTAATACGAATCACTTCAAGCATCGGCATCGGTGTACAGTGTACACAGCACTCCACCAGGCGCCAGGTGCGCGAGCGCAAAATCTGGAGCGCGAAAAGCGTCGTCGTCGTGCGGCGCTGACTGACAGTGAGCGTGTTGTGCACAATCCCCCGTCCCATCCCCTCCTCCTCCACCACCACCACCGTCGTCGTCGACGTCGTCGTCGTCGTCCCACCGAGAGGAGCGCCTCGGTGCCCCTTGAGAACGCGTTTCCCGACATTAGCGTGGCGACAAGGGCCCGTCCGCCTACAGCCCCGCCTGCCCCGCCCCGCCCCCGGGGGGCGACGCTAGAAGACAGGAGGAAGGTATTGTGTCAGCGCCTCCTCCCCCGCCTGCCTCCAGGGAGGCCATGAATAATACGGCGGATCTCACGCGCGCCCCCCGCGCGCCCAAAACGCGTCGCGATCGCGCACCTGCCTCGCAGAGCCTGCCGCCGCGCTGCAGCCGAGGTACTTTCCGCGCCGCCGCCGCCGCCATCTTCACGACGGTCCTCGTTGGCGTCGTGGAGCTGCCACGCTCACCGAGGGGCCCGCGGGGGACCACGCCCACGACGGCCAGGGAGAGACGAAACAGGAGAGAGGAGAAAAGAGGGCGAAGAGTCGCGGGGGTGGCGGAGGGGAGGAGGGGTGAGGATGAGGGGCGGGATTCAATCGGTGATAAGGCAGCCCAAGTGCTTGGCGCCCGGAGATGCTTCAGGCGAGGCAGGTTGGGGTGGGTGGGGTGGCCCGGGCAGCGGCGCGGGGGATGAGAAAAACTGAGGTCTGTCTATCCGCCCGTCACTAAGTAAATTCCCGTGTAGCGATCGTGCTTGGCGGGGCCCGGAGGCTGGGCGGGCGAGGCGCAGTGGGGCGCGGCGGGGCTGCACTCTGGAATAGGCGCCGCCCCCCGCGCCGCCCCCGCGGCGGGGCTGCACTCTGGAATAGGCGCCGCCCCCCGCGCCGCCCCCGCCACAATGGCGCCCACCGCAGCGGGCGGCCCCGGCCGCGGCCCCCAAACACGGGAGGGGCGTTCCGCCGCCGGATGACAGACGGCGCGGCCGGCGGCGCCGCGACGCTCGAATAAAATTATTATCCGTCCAAAAAAAAGGTAAATAAGGCGAAATATTAAACGCGAGCGACGACGCTATTCGGTGCGCGTCCTCCCCTCCCCTCCCCTCCTCCAGAGCTGCTCCTCGCTCCGCGGCCGCCTTGCACGGATCCACAAGAGGAGGGTGGGGAAAGGGGGCGGCGCGTCGCGCTTTGGCGCTCCTTTTAGCCGTGATGGATGGCTTCGGGGCCCTCCGAGCGAGGCCCTCCGAGCGAGGCCCTCCGAGGGCCGCCGCGGGCCTCATGAAGTAAATGGCTGGACGATGGGATCGATTTACTTTGGACGTCTTGTCTGATATGCACGGCGGGAGACGGGGGCGTCACCCACGCACAAGTTCTGTTGGAAGGTGTATAAGAACGTCGGCAATAGAAGTGGCTGATAGCACCACAACAAAAAAACACCTCGTGATTTTTCTTAAAACACATGCTGGCTGGCTGCAGGAATAGAACGAACTGACTGGAGCACGAGTACTGGAATCTATTTGCCTTCCGCTGGTGAGTGCGACATGGCTGTCATTACCCCTCCGCCCCCTTTCTCCCCCACCACGCCCTTGTCCCGCCCCGCCCTGTCCGCACGTAGGTCGTACAGTTGCCGGCACATTACTGTCCCGACGCGCCCCGACGAGCACTCCACACACACTGGGTTCTAAAATACACGCTGCACTCTCACTGGTGCGATCGCCGCCGCAGGTGAGGAGCGCCGCGGGACTTCAAACGGGGCTGGCCGTGAGGGCAAGAAGCCGCTGTAACTCTCACGCACGGAAGGCGGAGATTTCATACTTGTTCATGTCCCTGCGGAAATCCGGCCGAGTCCGTCTCTCGACCGTGTGTTTGGCTCACCTCTTCCTCTCCCCCCACAAACTCGCGAAGAGCTCTTTAGTTGCACTTCAACAAGTGTCATGACGGCGATAGTTTATAATATCTTCACCCTCGACCCTCACCACTACTTCATTTGTTATTAAATACATAAATGTGGAGCCTGGGTTTTTTCCAGTGTCGAAAGAGGGGTTGATCATTCCGTCCCTACATCCAAACACATGTAGAGATGGCAGTTCAGATGCCTTTCCGCCTCTCCCACATCATCTCATGAGAGCTATGCCACATTCTCGCCAATTTGTCAGAGTATGAAGCCACAACAATTGCCCTTTCCTTGCAGGGTTGTTACAAGGTTGGAACTTCAAATTTCCAGACTTAACCGAGAAAAAACATAAGATTTTCCCGTACATTTTCTTCAAAATATAGTTCATTTAGGAAAAGTTGAAAATACAACCAATAGAATGTTTTGGAGCAATTTTGACAAGTGTGCTCACAAGACTCTTTTGATTAATTTTCAATTTACCCTGACAGGGCAACCAAATTCCCCCCCAAAAATATTATGGATATCTTCCAGACTTGTAACAATCCTGCACAATGTCTAAATGGATTACTCTATAACTGCGACTTGCCAACTGTTATGGCTGTAAATGAGTCAATTTACAAATAATAAAGGGAACAATCATGAGATGATAATGAGGGAAACATTTTGAAAATCCCACTGTTAACTCTTAAAACTAGGACGATTGATGAGAATAATAGAAACTATATTTTTCTAATCCAAAAACCCATTTAAAAAAAAAATCCTGAATCAAGAAAGTTAAAAACTTAAAGTGAACTTACCTCTTCCTAACTGGTTCATCGCCACCATAGAAATCATTGCCACCACGATGGTTCTGCAAAAGATAAATTAAATTAGCGCATCTAGAATTTATAAATTGGAATTGGAGGACAAAAAAGTGCTACCCAGCACATAACAAGTAAGGACTTTTTAAAGGAAAAAACAATAATTCGAAACCAAACTAAGGAAAGACTTTACAAACTGACTAGAAAGATTTACATCCACAAATTGAACATGGTGTAACATAACCATGACTTTCAAACAAGAATTGATGGCCGCCCATGCAGAGATTAAACTGAACCAAAAAATTTAAATGGTATGTAAAAAAATAAACTAAAATCAGAATGAAGTCATCACAACTTGCTTGTCACAATCTCAAAAAGGTGTTAACAGGTGATCAAAAAATAAACATAAATTCATAACCTCAACCACTTCTTAGGGCACTAGAATTTAACACTTTTACACTGTCGACAGTTCAACCACATCGTCGCGTCTCATCGTTACGCCGATTCGGGACCGCACTTGGGAGCAAAACGATCAAATTCAATAGACGTCCGCGGGAGTACAGAGTTAGGTTATGGTCGTCCAAAGCGGCATCCACCAACATTCGAATTTCTTCCCGGGCGATGGAGTCCGCGACAGGGGCCACGGCCCCAATCCGTTTAGCACAGGTCAGCAGACACGAGCACGAACAGTGGCTGCGCCACAACGGCACAACACACTCGCTATTCGATTATGTGTGTCACCAAAACAATCAGCAGGCAGCCCAGCGAACGGCACGCTTCTTCAGGGACGGAGACGCGCACAAGTTGCACCACACGATCGGAAAGCCCTGGGGTGTTGACCTCTTCGACGCTGCTCCTGAAGGGCGTCGTCCTGCTCAAGCGGGCGCCACTGGAGGCCGAGGCCCGGGTGCGGAACCGGGACCGAGGAGGGCGAGACGGCCGCACCGGTGGCTGTTATCACTTGCGCCCCTCCCTGGCGCTTCGGGGGCGCCAGCACAAATCACTGAACGTTGAAAAACAGGATCGAAGAACTGCGTGTCGACTTCATCCGCTTAGGTACCACGACGATGGCCACGACGTCCTCGACCGGGTCCAGGATCCCGGCATCACGGTGGTGCTGGGCCTGGGCGGCCCGTCCCGTGCACAGCGCGGCGCGGCTCGGCGAACCTCCACAACATCATCTTGAACCTCTTTTCGCCCCACATCTCAGCCTATTTCAGCCCCATACTCACCCTGATCATCCCCTCAGAGTCACTCCGCTGCCGCTTCATATTGCCCGAATCCCCGTTGTAAGACATAATCGCGACCGAACCAAATTGTAACACAACGACGCGATGCAGACGCACCGACAAAACCAAGATTACTGAACACGAAAACGAGCGAGCCGAGCGACGCCGTCGGGAGAGCGCAGCACACGCAGGCTTGGCCAACAAGAAGAAAATGAGCTCGTCCAACAACAAGAGTCTGGCTGTAGGATGCGTAGAGTGCGGCCAGATAATTTACTCAACAGCTGACCGGGTTGGACCGGGAATCGGCATGTCAAAATTGTTATATTTTCTCGTCATAAATATGAATTAATCCCAAAATAAAAAGAAAATTTTTAGAGAGGGATAGAGAGAAGATTCTTCTCGAAATTCCGTATTTCAGATCTCAACTAGCGAGATCTCAGCCCAAGTCCTGTCAATCAGGCTCTAGGCAGGGATTACTTTCAAGCGAATTCCCTTAATTGTCGTCGGTTTGACAGTCACAGCCTCCAAATCTTAAATTAGATTAATAAATTACTCTTAGGAATGAGATAAGTTCTTCGACGCTGTTCGGCAACTCTTCTAAACACATGCATAACAACTTTTGGGGGCGACTCTGAGGTTTTGAGTGCGTACAGCAGAAACCATCTAGGACTTTACCTTGCAGCAGACCGCTGTTGCATCCTATAATTTTGTGTTTACTAAAGAATTTATCAGAGTTTACACGGGTTTTAATATGCTGAGAAGTTTTCGTTGAAGTTATTGTCTCTTTCTCTAAGAATATCGGCTTACAAATATGTCGTGCCACGACAATATGCTCCATTTGCTAAATTTGCCTGATGGCATTTTAGACAAAATTCTGTCATGTATGAGCTACGACGACATTGCACGGCAAAGATTGGTAAGTTTCAATACTTCATTATGCTGATTCACAATCATTATGTCTACCAACCAGAATAATCCCTAATAATGTGATTTTCTGAGGGGTACAGAAATGTAATATCAGGTTAGGTAATTCACCAAATTAGGAACTTGCCTCCTATTTATTTATTCAGTTTACTACTGGTTTAACTCTCCTGTTTCTACATGGATGACTTTTAAATATCAAAAATCTTACTTTTTTGTCTATGTATGCGCTATTTATTGGACTGTCTATTCATGCCCTACTTCTGTCATCTAGTGAACATAATGTATTGATGCATATACTGCTATAGTACACATCTTTTTATTTTAATCATTGAAGTGTCCTCAGATTAAAATTCATAGTAATGCAAGTAGTAAGGCCATGAGTTGTCTTTAGAAAGGGACTTTGTGTTGCTACATTTTAAAAATGTATATATTGCAGCTAGGTGTCTCTAATTTTTATATACCTGTATTTTATATTTATATTACTATTATTATTTTGCTTGGTCCCTAGGTCTGCCGCAAGTTTGATCAAACATGCAGAAACCTACTCAATAAGGGATTTGTAGCAGTGGAACGTTATCATGGAGTATGCTTGAAAAATGTAAAAGCCCAACTTCCTCGAAGAGAATCAGAGCGAAGAATGCATCCAATGTTCCGTCACTGTGAAATTTTGACTGCTGTTGAAACTCGTCTATCTATGCTCTCTATGACATTTATGAGATATGTGGATATCAAGCTCTGTTGCTTTATTCCAGGCAAGGTAGGGAAATATTTCTTTTTTGTTTCCATTTTTCATTATGTTTTTTACCATTTTATAATTATAGAAATTTTATTTAACTTAACTTGGTCTCTTTTTAGGTGATTGATGAGATATTTCGTGTATTGAGACATGTCATGACCAGTACAACACAACTGCGGGCTCATGAACTATTGCAAGAACTCCGTGATATATCATCAATGGCAATGGAACATTTTGATGAGAAGGTTGTACCAAGACTCAAACAACATCTAGCCACTGCCCCAAACAGAAGTTGTCACTCTGTATCAAGTTAGTACCAAAATTTGAACCCCCTTTTCAGAAAATTATATTGGCAATCAGGAGATTTTTTAAAAAATTGTTTTGAGTATGTGGCAATTATAATATTTTTAAGTTGCAGGCCCATCAAATCTCAGTTTAATGCCTTCCCGTGTGTCGGCCATGAGTGTGGACAAAGCAAAACTTGCCAATGATTTCTCCAAAATGCAATCCCAATCGAAACATAATAAGAAAAATGTTGACTCCTTAAAGAAAACTGTTCGACGATTACAGCTAAAGGTATTATTGCTTATCAGTTTACAATGTTTTATTATTGAAAAATTGTACTTTTTGTCTAACTCATTCAATTTCTAATTCTTTAGTTGAAGAGACACAGTGTTCAACTGTCTCGACAAAGTGCCAGACTACGAGAGCAAGCCCAAAAACTCCGTGAGCAAGACACAGTTATAGCCGAAATGAAACGTCACATGCAGGAGTGGGACCTAACTTTGAGTGACTTAAAAGCTGGGAGGCTTGTGACAAGTGATAGTGATACCATGATTTCATCTGAGAATTCATCTGGTGTTACAAGTGGAGAAGGAAGTAGTAATTCAAGCAGTATTAGTAATTTGGCTAGTGCTTCAACAAGTGATAATGAATCAGGAACGAGTGCATTGAAAGCAGAAAGCAAGCAGGATGCAACACCAAACACCTCTCCAAAACGGAAACGCACTTCAAGTACAAGTGAATTGCCCGAAAATTCTGAAAATGATGAAATGGCTTTGCGTGCGAAACGTTTTTGTCGAATTTTGAAGTTTTGTGAAAACAAATCAATGAAGCATAATGAAACTTGAGATCAGCTTCAGGAGCGACCTACCTCAGAACATCTCTTGCCTGAGGTCCGTCGCTTCTTCATTCTTAGGGCAATAAAATCCTTGACTCGCCTCTTAAAACAGGTGCATGGTGTGTAAATAGTAGTGTCGGAAATTGAATGAAGGTTGAGATCCATCTCAAGTAACATTTGGCGTAGATCTCAACCAGTGTTGTTTATTTTGTAAGTAAATTGGAGGGAGGTTGACTGCTCATCCTTGTCCTCTTACACCAGATAATTTTCAGACAAATAGGTGTAGATTAGATATTTTTTCAATAACCATGTTTGTTTGTTTTTTTCTCTATTTTGCCCATGTAAACTGTGATATAGCACATGGGAAAGAGACTGTTTTTGTTTTAATTTATTAAATGTATATGAAATCAAAATCAAAAAGCATCTTGATCAATTTCGTTTTGGTGAAGCCTGTGAAGCTGAAGCCACCCCGTCATTTGTTTTGAGTAAACTGATTGGCCGAATAAGAACTGAAGCCAGCTTCAAGCTGGTTTCAGACAATCAGATTACCCAAAACAAATGCTTCACTGGCTTCACCAAGACTAAATCGATCATAAGTAATACAAGTTTGTTTGTTTTGTTTTTGTTTTGTTGTTCAATTGTGGTTTCTATCTACCTTTATCTGTATTTCTCTATGGGTTTAGGTCACACCTTTATTTTGGGTGCAAAATCAAGGGATAGAGTCCTATGTGGCTCAGAAATGCATCTTGATAAAGACTCACCTTTTAAAGGTTTTAAATCCTAAAACCTGCAGAAATGTGCATCTTATTGGCAGCCTCTTTGTTTTGTTTATCTATCTTTCTTTTCAGATGATCTACTTTCCTACTTCAAGTGTTATTATACTGGGAATCTAATTTAAAATATGTAAAAAAATTGTACATGTTGGCCTGTATTTTTATTTTCCCTCTAAATCCTTTTTTTTTTCCTCAATTTTTTCCCAAAGCATTTTTGCAATGAGATGTCTGTGATTAGGGGTGGAAGATTTATTTAATTCTTATCATATCACATTGAGATACTGTAGATGCTAGAAGATTCTGTTATGACTAAGAAGATAATGTGATCAGTTTTATTTAATCTGTTGGTTCTTTCACATGTTCTAAGCTGGCTTAGTGGTCATTATCATCATGAAGCATTTAAGCAAAAATTGACATCCTCCAGTGTGATTCAAGAACCTAACTAAGACTGGTTGCAATAACTAACATAAATTTAGAAAGCTGCACTTTGTGGGGGTGAGTAACAAAGTGCTAATGTAAATAGATAATTATTGCTGGTCAGCAGTTGTATGAGGAAATGAGGTCTGTGATGCAGGATTTGCATGATCCCCATTTTCAAGAAGTATGCAATACACCTACTGAAGACAACTTTTGTGCCTTTCCGTGCAGATTAAAATGCTGACCTCACATCTTACTTTGACGTAAATGCTTGCATTTTTAAAATTAAAGTAATGTGTAGGAAAAGAAGCAAACTAATTGTGTGCAGCAATACTCAATTGCCTTTAAGGAAATGTGTAATGATCAGTACTTACATATTTATGTGTCTGTCTCTCTAGAATACAAAAAGTGTGGACTGATGAGTTCTATAGTTTTACTCATGAGCAGCAATATAAAAGCATCTTCCTCTTGAGAAGAGTCGGAAGTTGGTTGTTTCTTTATTTCATACTATGCATATGATGGACATCCCTTTCCTGGGCTGGTAGTGATCACATAATTTATTCTTTTATAAAATTCCCGTCTAATAGGTTTCTTAGTAAATTTATGTTCCTTGTTCTTGCCAATTATTACTCCTTAAACAGAATCCAAATCATGCTTTTGAAATTTTTGTAATGTTTTCATTGCTAAGAAATAATATTTAATAAGTTCAGCCAAACTGATTTAAAATGATATAAATAAACAAAAGTAACTAGTATACTATGATCTAGTTCAAAACTTTTTGGTTAGCAGTTTTCTGTTTCTGTGTGAAAATACCCTATATCACTGTTTCATCTTAATGTCGTATAAATGTATAGTGCTTTGATAATTGCTCCGACATAAATCTCATACTAGATTTTGAACATTTTAACAAGTAAGTTCTTTGTTGCATCTAATGTATTTCTTGAAAAGACTTGGTTTAATGGAGATCTGTTGGGTGATGTACTGGACCAAAGGCTTCTCTGGGTGATTAGAAACACTGAAGTCCCTCAGTGATTTTCTGATTTTATTATCCTTATTATTGTTATTATCAATCATTGTTGCCTTAATAGGCTGGTGATGGTTTCTGCACATTTATCAGTACCCTGAGAAAGAGCTTGTTGAAAACTGATGACTGCTTTTTCAACTTCCATTAATTTAATTCTGTACATAGCATTTTCTCCTCCAATTATTTCAAATGTATCTAGTCGCAGGAATCTGTCTTGCTATGATGGTGAATTTGTTTGCATAGCAATAAAAAAAACTGCAATGAGAAAAAGAAACTCCTCTGCAAAATTGTAGTTAAGAGCCTCCTTATGTTTATGGTGCTACTGCTGTTACTCTCTTCCAGATTCAAACTTCTTCGTTTGTCATTGGGGTTTGTTTTGCTCATCATAAAAATAATTATTTTTGAGTGCGATGTTACTGTATGACCAAGCCCTCGTAACATGATAAGTGTATTTCCCTCAGACTTGTATTCAAAACCTAACTGAACTGTTTCTGTTATGCACCTTTGCAGTCTCTTCTTTGATAGACCAGAAATCATTACTGTACCACTGTATTCACTGAAGGGTGTAAAATAAATGGTCATTGGTTAAAAGACTTGAGTCAACCTAATGTTTTCATTTTCTCTGCATTAGAGTTATGTACATATATATTTGTGCATTCAAAATGAGTACAAAATATAAATACTTGTGTATAATTAGAGCACATTCTACCTTAAACTAGATTTGGTTCATTCCTATTATTAATGAAGAAAGCAGTTTAAAAAATCTACAACACTTCTTCAAGGCATATTAATATTTGCTCTTACTCAAACTTTCAATCTTTGAGGAAACTCCTCCATTCATTCCATCATCGACCTTAAAATGCATCCGTACTTCCCAATATTTCTTCTCTACGTGATAAAATTATCATTTTCAATGCCCAGGCCAAAGTTGAGAGAAAAATTATTTACTCCACACTGTTTAAATAAAAAGAGGGTACTTTAAATCATATTTTTAGTTACATTCCTTTTTAAGGTTTACCCATTCTAACTCTTTTCAAAAGAGGAATTGTGTCATTATAGTGCGGACTTTCATGCCAGTATACCGCCTGGTCCTCGTCGCATAGTTTCCCCGGCAAAGGTTTGCTGTTAAATGTTTCTTTGTTCAGAGTGTTCGAAAATGAGGAGTTCTGCTGGGTCGAGTCTCACTCGGGGGCGGTGGTCGGGGTCGGAGCGGGGCCAACTAGCGCCTTGGGCCTGCTAGGTCTGCGCGGGGCCGGGTCCGCCCCCGGCCGCCCTCAGGGGGGCTTGGCCCCGCGGGCGCCGCCCTGCCTCAGCCCCTTCTCCACGTCCCCGCCTGCAGGGACGGCGATGGCGGCCGGCCTGGTGGCGGCGGCGCGCTCGGCCAGCTGAATGCGCCTGTACTTCTCTGCGATGACAAAAGAACGGGAATGTGAGAGCGAGCTGACGGCGGCGGCCTTGGGCCTCACACGAGGAAGCCACGGTACTTACTGGCCAGGCGGAGGGCGATGAGCCCCCACCAGATGCTCCAGCCCCAGCCCACGAGGCAGAACAGCACAGTGAAGAGCTGCGAAGCGGCCACCAGGGTGTCCAGGCAGAACGCGCCGACGCGCGCCTTGGCCGTGTCGCTCGAGCTGAAGCGCGGTTTGCCCACGCACAGACAGAACAGCCCCATGGACAGCGTGCCTGCAGCAGAAAGCGTTGCTGGTCAGTCGACTCTCCCATGACCTCTCCCCTGAGTGTCACGTCGCCGCTGTCGCGGGTTGGTGTGGCGCGCTGTCCTGGTCCCTCACCGAGTCCCGGCACGAACACGTTGCACACCATGCAGATCCAGGCGAGGGGCAGCGGCAGCACAGGGATGGCTCCTCGCATCACTCCGTTGTGCTCGACCAGGGCGGCGTCCAGCTTGCTCAGCTCCTGCGGGCCACAGTATTGGTAGACGTGAGTTTGACTTCAAATTTCTGGCTGAGAACAACTGTATGTCTCCTGGTCGTGGCAGATCGCTCACCTTGCTGCTGGCCGTGACGGACTTGCCGCGCGCAAGGCTGCGCGCCTGCGACTTGCGCCGCTCCCCGGCGCCGGCGTCGGGGGCGGGCGAGGCCGACGGCAGGGGACAGCAGCGGCTGCAGCAGCCGCCCGCCTGGCGGCACGAGGAGCGCAGGCAGCACGCCGTGTTGAGGCAGAAGAGCGCCCCGCACGCCGCCCGCGTCAGCGCCCCGCACCGCGACATGCCGCGCGAGCAGCAGTTGCCCCCCGGAGGCGGCGTCGAGGCGCGGGCCGCGCCGGGGGCGGCCGCCGCCATGGCGCCGGTCTTCGCGACATCTTTCCGCCTGCGCAGCGAGGAGGAGAGTTAGACACAGACACAATATTCCCACAGGATATGTCAACGTGTCCCGAGGCGGCGCCTCTCGGGCGGGGAGACGTTTGGCGCCGTCCCTCCTGAGAGCGCCTGCAACGCGCTGGGTACGCCAACCCGCCTGACAGCTGCGTTGAGCTGGCGGCCCGCCCGGTGAGCGCCCGCCTGTGTGCTGGGGTTCACAGGGCGGGAAACGTCAGGCAGCGAACGTAGCCAGAACGTCGCGAGGGGGTACTCTAATTGTGGGAGCACCTAGAGGGGCTGTTACTACTAACTGTTACTTTCAAAACGTGAGACTAAACAAATAAATGGACAAATCTACTACAACTACATGGGGTTGACTGGCTGGCTTCTAACTGTTGCTGGGGATGTAGGTGAGAAAGGTGCATGACATACGTTCAGTACTAATATTTTTCATAAAAAGCAAATCGTAAATGGGAAAAGGGGCCCTTCTAGAATTCTAGAATTCGCAACTAAAATTCAGACCATTACAGGCGGGTATGTGGCAAATTAAGGTAGAATGAAATATTAAGTTGTTTAACAACTACAGCGTGAAACCGAAGAGCTATAAATGTGCAATAAAAACTTGCGTTTCCTTTGTTGTTAATGATTTGCGCTTGCTAATTATACCTCAGTAACGGAGACACCTATAGAACATGACATTAAAAACAATCCAAATTCCAGGGGAACTGGAAGGCGCGTGGTGATGGCGTACGTATCGTTTATCACAAACACCGTAAAAAACAAAAAATAAACTAAAGAACACAAATAAAATACCTGAGCATAGCATGCAAATTGGGCAACTTGGCCAAGCTGGGGCGCAGTCTGGGCAACCCTTTGGGCAGGCCTTTCGGCAAGCTGAAGCGTACAGTGAGGGAGCTCAGCCAGTGGCTGCTGTCGGCGTGCACCGGGGGCGACCCGGGGGCGGCAGGGGTCCCGGGGGCGGGGCCGGGGCCGGGGGCCGACCTTGGCCTGCAGCAGAGCGCCCGCAGCTTGTCGATGCAGCCCGCGCAGCCTCCTTGCTTGGGGGCGGCGGCGGCCTCCGTCGGGGGCGGCGTGCCGGCGAGCGCCTCGGCCGAGTCGCGGGGGGCGGTGCGCCGGCCGCAGCAGGCCAGGCGGCGGAGCAGCCCGGGGGTGGCGGGGGACCGCATGGAGCGGGGTGCCTTCGGGGCCCTCGGCTTGGCCCACGCCTTGGGCCCCTTGGAGCCCCGGCGGAGCCACCGCAGGCACCCGCCTGCGCCCCGCTTCCCGCCGCTCGCGGTCCTGGAACAGAAAGGGTACAGCTCAGCTCAGGTTACTTCATACTGAAAACGAATCGGTCCATACTGACCCCAAAAATCAAGAAAACATTTTTTAAAAAATCAGACGAGCGCAGTGCTACCAACCTACTATTACCAAGCTACGAATTCAAATTAAACGATCGCTTATATCAAACATCTTATACCAAACTTCTATACTAAACTCGTTACGACCGGACTTATACTGATGCTTCGTGCGCAGTTTGAAGTCAATTGAAGTTGCTGTCTGTGAGAAACGTGTGTGATTACAGATAGATACAGACAGACACACGACCGAAGAGTTCTCTGCACCCCACATCACAGCAAAGGCTTCTCAAGCTCAGCCAAAATTATTAAAAGGACCAGAACAAATAGTCGGTTTTCACTTGTATTTAAAGTTAAGGGCCCCTCGCCCCCCCCCTCCCCAACACTCGCCCTGCTGGGCTCACGGTGTACGGTAACAAACACCTGTCACACACGACGCCGTTTCGTATATCTTTGACGCGTCCTTAAATCCCACCTCGTCTTCCCCTTCCCCAATCTTTTCCCTTTAATGGCCCATAGGGCACGGTGAGGGTAAGGGGTGGGGGAGGCAGTGTGCTCGATAGGGGCGTGCCCGCGGGCGAGAGGTGGTAATGGCTGAGTTTCATGGCCAACGCTTTAAGTCGCGAACGGCGACAAAGTCGCTCACGATAAGACACCCTACCCTATAGCCTGCCGCTGGGCGCGGCGCTGGAAGCGGGTGGAGGGGGGAGGGGTGGCAGAGCTCGGTAGAAGAGGGGGGAGGGAGGGGTGTGGAGGCGCCGAAAAACGTTGCGTGCCAGCGGCGGCGAGGTGCAGCCCCTCGGCCCGTGCGGCAGCGGGCTGGCAGGCGCTAGTGACGCGCGTACGGGCGCCTGGCTATTGCAGGGTAGGCAACACGCTCGACCGCCCCGCGCGCAAGCTAGCAAGTTGCCTACCCGGCGGGCGTTCCTACTCTACCTGCGCGCACCGCTCTCTTACTGCAAGCTGGGTCGGATTGTCGGATACTGGTGTGGTGTTTTCACAGATCAAGACAAGTAGTGGAAATGCAAGTGCACGAGAATCGAACACCTGGATGGTGATCGGAGAGCTACCTGCTGGATTGTTTGACTTCCGGTACCAATCTCGGATACAGTCCCCCAAAATTTTAGTGGTGGACGCTGCACGCGCGATTACAATTCAGTTTCGTCCTGTTGAGAATGAAGGGACTCATTAAACATGTAGTCCTGGCAGGCAAACGAAGCCGGCGGGCGCGTGCATATATTTTTAAGGGTGTGAAATCACCAGTAGTCACTAGCCGTACGTTTACTGCTGTAGGGGATCAAATTGTGCGATATGAGCGTACCTGGAATTCCAGTGCGCGGCAGGACCGCTAGAACACGCGGGGCCTATCTCAATCGCAGGGTAAGAGAGCGGGTAGTGGGAGGGGGCACGGGGTGGGGTAGGGGGGGGGCAGAGAGTCGAAGTCGGAAGTGGCATAACGTAATAGATGGACGCCTCCTCCGGTTCTCCTCGCCGCCGGGGGGAAGAGGGCGATAAATTCAAGGCAACTGGCTTACTCGCTGTGCCCGGCTGTGCCCGGCTGTGCCTCGTGGAGCGGGCCGCGGTAGTAGTAGTGCGCTGCGCCTCGGTATGCAACGTCCCGACCACGCTGCAATTCACCCCCTGCAGCTCATCCCTGAGCCCTGCCCTCCCCCCCCCCCTCTTGGCCACACCGCCCTTGCGGGACGATGTAGTTCAGTAGGTCGTGAGCAAAGTAAACCCCTCCTCTACAAGCGCATCGCGCGTCGCGTGCACCCGATGGGCATATCGTATATACATACTGCCTCCCGTGCCTCCCTCCCTTCCCTCTCCTCGAGCCGCAGCCGCCCTCCCCAACCATCGGTAGAGGAGCGAGTGGCGGCGATATGAGGATCCCGGCGATTAAAACGGCATCAGTGGGGTGGAGGAGGGAAAGGGGGGGTAAGGGAGCGGTAAGGGACAAGCTGGCAGCCCTTTGCCCAGCGCGCTGCCGGCGCTGCCCTTCGCCCCAGACAAATGAGTCCTTGCGGCGGGATACATTAAGATGCCTATCGCCTGCCAATCAGGAGCGCAATCCGCACGGAGCCGCGCCAATCCCTTGTTTCTGCTCATATCCTGGCGGCAACGAGGCGGCCGGAGGTGGCCACAAACACACAACAAATGAGCGCCGGCTATTTTTACGGCGCGGTGCGCGGGGCGGTGCAGCCCGTGTCGCACGGGGCACCGGCCGGGGGGGCAGGGAATTGCTTCAGCCTTGATCTCGAAGGGGTTAGGCAACCCGGGGTGCATGGCCCGCTGGGGTCGGGTGTACGTAACGTACAAGGCTGCCAAGAGAGCAAGTGGTATATATAGCGACTGACTCGGCTCGGCACGGCGGACACTTGGGGTAGCAGGGTTAAAAATGCTCCGAGGTTACATCGCGAAGTTTGTGATCGCGCGCCCAAGGAGAACACGATGATGGGGGCAGAGAAAAGTATACTGTTCTGCAAATCTAATAAACTGCGAGACTTCCCATGCGGTTTAACCTAATGGTGGATGTGTTCTCGTGCAGACTGAGGACTGAAGTGTAGACGCGTAGTTGTGATCTGTTTTGGTGCAATGAGTCATAATTTTGGCCCCTTTACACCAAAACAGTTGACAGCTCAGCGACTTCAGTCCTCAGTTTTCACGAGACTAAATCCACCTTAACAGACTATAAAGTCTATCAATTTATAGTGGCAGACTGAACAGTCTCAAAGTCTAAACTGACAGACTGGAAAGTCTCATAGTTAAAACGACATGTTAGTTGTTTTACGGTTAGATTCGAAGTCGAAGAAGAGTGAATTTAATGTTGAGGCCCTGTTCACATTTAGACGTCGCAATGAGGTTTCCAGAGTGTGCGAGTCTCTTCACACGTGACCAGCAGGAAAAGGCGCGAGGCCGAATGGATTCGTCAATGAGAATACCATGACGCAGGTGCAGTGCAGCGAAAGGAAAACGAGCTCGAGACAATTGCACAGCAGGCGGGCGAATAATGAATCGGCATTAAGGAGCGGCCATTTCTCCGGCCTCGAACTACGCAAGGCGGAAAGGGGAGGGGGGCGTCTCAGGGTCTCGCATACCCGCACGATACCGGGCAGGGTAGTTGTGAAAGGTTGGCGAAAGAGGGGGGAGGGGGAAGGAACCGAGGCGGAGGGGGCGGCTGAGGTTAATATATTCCGCTGCCATTGGCGAATTACCATTTTCATAAGTAAAAGTGCGCGGTGCAGGGGCAGAGGTGAACTTCCCTTTCCCAGGGGTTAAGCATGCGCGTGGCCAGTCGAACGCGACGAGATGGGCGACCTTGGCCGTCAACGAGCTGCATATGGGCGTCAGCGGCGGTGCGTCCGGCGGTGCGGCTGGCCGCGGAAGCGTCTCCTCCAGGTTATGCAGTGTCACATCCGGACCACCCCGGACGCGTAGACGCACGGCCGAGCACCTGTTGTCGCGAGAGATAAGCCCAAGGGAACCACAGCCCGACCCGCCCCAACCCCACGGCCACGGCGGCACCGAATGAGATGCTTTTGGCCAGCGCATACGCAGCGTCCCGCACAGCGTCAATCATCCGCGAAGAATGAGCCTCCCTTGCCTCAGCCCAACATCACCGGCGCCCAGCCATAGCCTGAATCACGTTGGAGGTGCGGGGGTGCGAAAGGAAAGAACCAACGTTAAACAGACCGAAAGCCCTCAATAATGGTCTCCAGTATAATCGTCTTCGGTGAGATGTAAATGCACACCGCCGGACATAAGTCGACACAAACTAGCCAGGGGTGAAAAGAGTGGACACTCCCTGGAGACCCGCGGCGTAGACGGCTGACTCACCTGTCGAATATCTTAACCTGAGTCATCCCCGGCGCGCTGGACGTCCATGCCTGTCCATGTCCTCCTCGCCGCTGGGGTCGGCCTGTCGCGCCTGGAGCCTCGCGCTGGACTGGAGTACCCCGGGCGCCCCGGGGCCGGGCTGGCCACTCCAGCGAGCGGGCCCAGCGCCTCCTGCCCGCCCGCCTGCTTGACCTTGGCGCGGGCGGGGCGGGCCGGAGGGGCCGGGGGCGGCGGGCAGCCTGGCGCAGCCCTCCCTGGCCTCAGTCTTGACCACCCCGACCTCTCCCCCTCCAAGGCGCACTGGTCAATATGAGCCTGCATAATGGGCCGACCCACAGGAAGCGGAGGAGAGGGGGAGGAGAAGGAGAGAGGGGAAGGGGGAGGGTCTTCAGGGGAATTGAGAAAATGTATCAGACATGCCACACAGCATAAATATATTTCTAACAACCTCTGCAGCCATGTTGTTGTGGAAGCGCTGCTTCTGCGGGTGTTTCCATCTGTTTCCCTGCTGAGCCCCTTTCCTTGCCCGAGCACCAGTGGGCGAGGGGTGGGTTTTGTGGGGTTGAGTGTGAGATTTAGTAGAGGAAATAGCGTCAAATTCCATGTACTCCATGGGAAGTCCATGGTGTCTCATGTTGCCCCGTACGTGTCCCGAGGTTCCTTGCGGTGTCCATGGAGTTTCGGTCGTGGGTGGGAGAGCCCGTCCGGCGTTCAAGTCTCTTCCGATGCTGCGCTCAGCCCCGGCGGCACCCGCCATGGAAATACCGCCCGTGTTTGTTTTCCGGCGCTCGCTCACATTTTCATAATAAAATCCCCTGGTCGCTAATGCCCGGTGTGAGGGGGTGGGGTGAGCGGGGCGAGGCGAGGCTCTGCCGGCCACGGGGGAGGGGGTGCGTGTTGACTGCGCCCCCTCCCCTCTCCTCCCCCCTTGCATCTGATAACACCGAGACGGCTTTCCCCGATCATCATGCAAGGCGGAGGTCTATTAAGGAGGCGGCCGGTGGGGGTAAGGGTTGAACGTGCTGCTTAAGGCGAGCCCCCCCCCCTCCTACCCGAGTATTCGGCCTGGTGCTGCCCTCTGCCGCGAGAGCCGTGAACATTGTGGACAACACGGAGGCACTGTTGGCGGGTGGTGTCCGTAACACGCCATGCCTTGAGCGTCAGTACATTCCTATACTTTACAGCAAAATTTGTAAAAAGCATCCCTCGAGAAAACAAAAGTGAAGCAGCTTTAAAAAATGCGTAGGCAGAAATACGTAAACAGGTACGTTGGCGGTTGGCGGTTTCCTTAGGTGGTAGGTGGTACTTTTCGTGAGCTGTTGACTCCTTCCTCTTGACCGATTGCGGGTCGCCTTGGTCTCCCTATCATCGCCCCCGGTCGGTGGGGTACCTGACCCCCGACGCTGGAGCGGGGGGTAACGCCAGGAGGCGCGCTACCCCCTGTACTCGCCACGCGCCCCGGCGCTACCCCTAGCGCACCGAAAAGCTGTTGCAGGGGTGGCTGGCGTGGCGAAGTATAACCCCGTCGGTACAGCAGCACCCCTTGCTCCCATTTTGCCATTTCTGACATTTTCCTCCTGCTCCTGATGAATGCACAATCCTGCAGGATGCATGTTATCATCTCAAAGTGCCTTCTATTAGTTATGTGAAAGAGAACGAACAGTAAATTTAGGTGTTCAACGCTTTTATGTGAGGATTTATGTTTGAAACCCACAGAAAACTTTAAATCGGGTTTACACCCCCCAAAAATGTGTTCCCAATTTAAGGACATCCCAAAAAAATTAATTACAAATGTTCTGCCTTTTCATTCCTATTTTCTTATTACAAGTTAAAATAAACAAATTTGTCTAAAATTTTTAGGGGCGATCTTGAAATGAGATCACTTTTTTTTGGGGGGGGGGGGGGGTGCATAAGAGTGAACCTGTTGTACGGAAACGACTGGTTTATCGGGTGGACCTGTCAATGGGCAGTGGGGGTGAGTAACTTGGTGAAACCGGGTGAAACAATCAGAGACTTTAAACCGACCCCCAGGCATTATTTTCATCCACTTGTTTCGACCACAAGTCGGGACATTTTAAACGAGAGAAAGTGGGTCTCACAAAGCGGGCGGCAAGGAACGCCACTGCAACAACCATTTCGCGGGTGAGGGGAGTGAGGTTGGTCACGGTAGCAGGGGGTGGGGCTGCGGGGCGGGCGGCCATCCCAAGGACAGTCGCGGGCCAGCCCTCGCCACGTGCACGTGCGAGGAGTATCGCGGTCGCCGCCAGCATTTGTACCCGACACGGCGAGGCTGAACCACGGCGCCTGCAGGAGTACAGGCTAGGCTCTTCCTGCCATTAAGTGAATGGGTACAGGCAGGCAACTTCCAGCCGATTGGTTCCTCCAGCTTCGGCCTGAATAGTGAACGAGAAAGCCACGCCCAACACGCGCCGAGGCAATTTCCCGTCACATCCTTAGCATGCCGTAGGGGAGGGGTCAGTTAGGCCGGGAGATCCCGGCACGAAATAAAAAGGAGAAGGGGGCGGGGGAAGAGGGCGGCTGTTTGAATCTTCATTGGGTTTTTCCCATCGGCATAGCGCCGCTCAAGGGGTGGTGCGGCGGGGCTGGGGAGGCAGTGTCGGCGCGAGGCGCTGGGGCGGGGCCCAAGCCAAGTCTGGCCGTGACTCTCGGGAACGTTAATTTAACCGTTAACGACGCTCTGAGACAATAACGGTTTTTAGCGTCACCGTAACTCTATTATTTGCCGAAGAGAGGCTTTAAAGCTAAATTTGGATTTCGTCGTTAAAAGATAATTCGAGGTAATAATTTTGAAACAACACACGAACATTGAAAACACCCCCCCCAAAAAAAAATAAATAAATAAAAAAACCAACAAACCAACAACAAACAAACCATTGCATTGAAGTTCTTCAGCAAAATCCATAACAATATCTACGACCGAGCGAGCAGCCTTGAGTCTGGGGCGAAATTAGCTCAGTCACTCTCCGGGGGGCGTCCTGCCCGTCCGCCCGTCCGCCGGCACTCAAGGTGACCAGGTAGGGGCGGGGCCGCGGAGCGGGGGTGGCGGCCACGCGAGGACCACCATAACAACCCCAAGGCGCTGCTGGAAAGGTACTCACTCATTCTTGGCGGCCCTGGACGCTGGAGAGTCGCTCGTTGTAGGTTTGTTGGCACTTTGAACGTCGGCGCCCTCCTTGGCGCCCTGCTTGTCCGGGGGCTGGCCGGCGGCGGCCGACGGACCGGAGGCAGTGGACTTGCCGGCCCCGGCTGGGGCGGCACTCATGGAAGACGAGGAGCTGGCCGCGGGGGCGGCGCTGGCAGTGGACGTGGTGGCGGCAGTGGGGGAGGCAGTGGAGGTTTTGGGGGCAGTGGAGTTGCGCACGGTGGCCACCGAGGTGTCCGAGCTGCTGGGGGAGTCCGTCATCGCCGGAGCCGCGTCGGCCGCGGCTTGGCTCAGACTGTTGGGCACTTTGATGGAATCTTGCGACGACTTGGCGGACGAGAGGAGGTCACTGGCGACCACGTCTGGCTGCGCCATCTCGAGGGGTCCCGCCGTCGTGGAGGAGACCAGCGTGCTGGAGGGCTCGTTCGCGTCCAGCTCGCCGAGCATGCTGGCCAGGATCGGCCCCGAGGGGCCACTGTCATCCGCGGGTGGCGAGGCGGCGGCCGCCGGCGGAGGGGACGCGGGGCGCGGAGGCGACGCGGGCCTCTTGGAAGACGTGAGTGTTAGCGGGGTGTCCGGCGGAATGTCCGGGGGCGGGCCGGGGGCGTACGGCGTCAACTCGTCTGACGGCCTGACGGGGGCAGGGACGGGGGTGGGCCGGAGCCGCACGGAGGGCGACTCGGGCACGGTGGACATTGGCACAGAGGTGGGGGCGGGGGAAGGGTGGTCGGTCTTGGTCGACCGCGGACGCATACCCGGGGCAGCCGTCTTCATGGACGCGATGCTCTTGATGGAGGTGGAGCGTGTCATGGGCTTCTCGGGAGCTTTACTGCTGTTGTTCGGCTTTTTGAGGGCTGGCTTGTTATTGTTGTTATTGTTGTTGGCACCGTCCTTACGCGGGGTCTTCGGCGTGGTCCTGGGCGTAGTCTTAGGCGTGACCCTGGAGGCGCGCGGGGACGGCGGTGCCGGTGTTCTGCTGGGCGTCGTCCTGCGAGGGGCGGGCGTCTGGCCACTTGTGTTCTTCCTATTACGCTCCTTCACGCTCGGCTCAGTCCACGACGGGGTCAGGTACTCCTTACCCGGCGTGTCCTGCACCATCTCCGCGCTCAGGATAGCGCTCCGTCTCCCCTTCGCGGGCGTACGGGTCGTAAGCTCCTCTTTCTTCTTCGGCGTGGAGGCCTCGTGCGCTTTGGCCACCCTCCTTGGGGACCGTGTCGGCGTCCTTGACTGCGGAACCCGTTTCGGGGAAGGCTTCGGCGTCGCGTCCATGATGTTCTCGGGTTCTTTCCGCACGGGGGATGTCACCCTGGAAATAGGCACGGGGATCATCGAAGGTACCGCCCTGGACGGGCTTTGAAGAGCGTCCGCAGCCGCGTCCGGGTCAGGGTCCTGGATGGTGCCCGTGATGTTGGGGTCTGTCTGCACTCCGCGGGATGGCGATGGTGTTCTTGACCGGGGCTTGGTCGTGATCTCGATGAAACGGGCGGGCTCACGAGCTGGCGACGCCAACCGGGCGGGTGAGGGCTCGCGTGCGCGCACCGGGATCCGCGTCGGGGACATGACAACTCGTCGGGCGGGAGATAGGTCCCGGGCCGCCGGCCTCCGCGAGGGCGAGTAGTACACCGACGGCCCCACGGCGGCCACAGAGGCCCGGCGCGCGGGGGAGGCCTGGTTGGACCGCATGGCCCTGGGAATGGTTCTCCTGCTGGGCGACGGCTCCCGTCCCGGAATGCGGCCGGGTGAGACGTCCCGGATGCCGCGTTTCGCGGGCGATCGTCTCCTCGACGGCGAGGTCTCCCGCACGGCCCTGGTTGGTGGCGACACGGCACGCGGGTATGGTATCCTCCTTGCCGGCGAAGCGTCTCTGTATTGCGGCGTCCTGTTCGGTGACGCGTTTCTGGAGTACGACTGCGGGCCTCTGCTGTACTGGCTTCTTTGGGGTGACGCGTTCCTGGAGTACACAGACGCTCTCCTGTTGGGCGACGCGTCTCGCGAGTAGGGATCTTTCGCGTAGGGCACGCGGTTTGGTGACGCGTTTCTAGAGTACTGCCCTCTTCTTGGTGGTGACGGGTCCCTGGAGTACGGTATTCTCCTTGGCGAAGCGTTTCGGGAGTACGCTCTTCTGCTGGGCGACGCGTTCCTCGAGTACCCTCCTCTACTAGGCGATGAGGTCCTGCTGGAGTACGCTCCTCTGCTGGGCGATGAGGTTCTTGAGTACGACCCCCTGCTTGGAGAGGCGTTCCTAGAGTACGCCCCTCTGCTTGGCGACGCGTTCCTCGAGTACGCCCCTCTGCTCGGGGACGCTGTCCTTGAGTAGATCGCCCTCCTGTTCGGCGAGGGGTCCCTGGACGTCGGCGTGCTCCTCGCTCCCCGGCTGGGCGACGTCCCTCCGGACCGGTAACCCCTGCCCGGTGCCGCGAACCTGCCCTTGGGCGGAGCGTCTCCCCTGGCCGGCAGGGCGCGCTGCTCGAAGGCCGCGGTGAGCTGGCTGACGGAGCCGCCGTGAGCCGGCCTGAGCGCGCCGCCGGGGCTTCGGCTGCGGCGCGGCGACACGCTGCGGCTGGACCGGCCGCTCACGGGCGAGGACGGCTGGCTGGGCGAGTAGCGCGAGTCCGGGCGGAAGCCGCAGCCGCGGAACGGGCTGGAGGTGCGCAGCGGCGTCTCCAGCAGGCTGCCGTCGGCCAGGATCACGAAGGCACCCCTCTTGTCGCTGGCGACCTGCGGGGGCGCCACCCGGGCGCGCGACTGGCGTGCTGCCCCCGCGCGAGCGCCAGCCACCAGGAACGTGTCACTGTGCGCGAGCTGGCGCGGCGGCGGGGCGGGAGGCTGCGCAGCGGCGGGCCGGGCCGCGGGCATCTGCAACACAGGGACACGATCAGCAGCTGGAGAGGGGGCGCTGCAACCGCTGCAACACAGGGACACGATCGGGCGGTGGCTCCACGCCCGCCAGAGCCTATTACGAACAGGATGAGCTCGGAGGGGAAGGCAATTCCGGCCCATTGGTGTGAGACTGGGAGGAAGCCGCCCTCCTGGAGCAAGTGCGTGCGGAAGTGTGTCGAAACCGCGCGGCGCGTCAGACGCCCGAGCACTGCACTGTGCGCGGGCGTGGCGCGGCGTCGTGGCGTGGCGTGGCGGCGGCGGCGCGGCGCGAGTGAGAGAGAGAGAGAGACTGCGGCGGGAGTAACAACCTCAAGTGCGAAAATGAAATCCCATATTTGTAAAACAAACAAACGCCGGAAATTTACAGGAAATCAAAACGGATGTTTGTCTGGTTTGTCTTGCACGTTTTGTTAGTACGGCTGTGCCGTTTCCATAGACAAAAATCGCCTACTGACACTAACCCACCCATACCTCCGTGCGCTTAGGCAACCTTCCTGCACACGTTTATGCTGCACAGTATCAGCACACAAAGTGGACCGCACGGCGTGAAGAACGAGCTCTCTAGTGAAGGTGCAGCGCAGCCTAAACTAACTTGACATCATCATTATGTCAGAGACTAGAGAGAGAGTTACAATAGGGATTAGAGAGTTCGTTTCGTATTTAGTCTTTATTTTAATTATTATTGAAATCAGCAAAAACCGTGAAACATTTTCTTGTAGATTTACAATTTATTTTGTAATTTACTATTTACAAAATATTTTGTAATTTGCGACAGCTAAGGCAACAGGCCATTCCTGCTTGACAATGAATTCGAAGTCGATACTTAGTTTGACAATCTTTAATTGCTATTTTACGACAGCCTTCATGGAAATTTTTCTCGTAAAACATTCAACAACTATTTTCCACATTGCAAGTTATGCTAGTCAAGCAGCGTAAGTCGAAACCAAAATTGTACGACACTCACCTGATGCCTGGAGTATATGATGGCAGGGTACAGCACGGGTGTTCCGGGCACGGGCGTTCCGAGGAGTGGCGTTCCAGGCACGGGTGTTCCCAGCCCGGTGGGCGTCCCCGGCAGCGAGTGGTGCAGCCCGCATCCTCCGTGCTCCGGGCAGCGACTGGGAGAGGCGGCCCGGCAGACGCACACCCCGTGGGGCCCGTGGGCGGCAGGGCCGGAGGCGACGGGGACCCCCACGCCCCCGAGAGGGGGCCCGAGGGGCGCCAGCACCAGCGCAGCGTGGGCGTGCGTGCGCGGGGGAGGGGGAGGGGGGTGCTTGAGGATGCCGGCGGGAGGGGGCCCCCCAGGCCCCGCCCCAGCCCCGCTCCGACCCTTCATCTTGACGCCGGCACCTGCAGAACGAGAGCGTCGATTACACTACACTTGATCAACCACCAGCAGCCACCGCAACCTCCACACAAAGTCTTCTACAATAAATCCACGTAATTCGTACTGGGCTATGTGTTTCTTTACACGCGCGCGCTTACACTGTTGTGGGTTCTCCAGCCCCTCTCCCTTTCTAAGATATCACCAGAAAATGCGCCCGTCATTCGTCGTTTACGAAACCACCATGTTTTCAGCCTATGCCAGCTCTCATGGCGCCTACTAGGTAGGCAACATCTTGACTTCAGTGCATGCGTGTAATGCGGGGTGGCCTACCCAGAGTCTCGCAGGCGCTGAGCTCTAAGTAATGCTCTATAATGAATATGGGAGAAACGGACGTACTTTCTGGACGAATGCTAAGGCACAACTGCGGCCCGTGCGAGTACTCAAACCCGCATCACTGGAGTGCGTACACAAAACATGTAAACGTGAAAATAGTGAACGAGACGACTGCTGAGGACCCGCCGTGGGTCAGGTCGGGTCAGGTCAGCAGGCCAGGAAGCGAGCCACCATTGACAACTCCGCTTCACTTTCGCTGTCCATGGCACAGGCCCGCCGGGCCTGCCCCCGTATCGCGTAATGTTTCCGCAACGAGCAGCAAAGTGATTTTCCGGGCGGTCGCCGCGCACCGCGCACCTCGCTTGCCACGCCCAGACGCCTTTACTTCCGTTCCTGGCCCTGGCACACCTCGGAAGTAACTGGATTCCACGGAAAAACGAACTGTTAAAGACGGGTGCAATTGAAACGGCCTCCACGAGCTCAACATCATAACGATTTTTTACTGGCAGCATCGCTCGTGTGGGACACACGTCCTGAATTATAATAAAGATAGCACCACGTTTTGACGACGGCCTACTTGAGCACCCCTCTCCCTCCCCATCACCTCCACCCACCACGGTCAGTTGCACCAACAGGTGCAGCAGGTGCATCGAGGATGCGTCAATACCCCCCGTCAGCAGCTGCTCGCGGTCCGCACGCCCCCCCCCCCCCCCTTACTCCTCCGCCAGTAGTGCAGCGAAAGTGCTCCCGCACGCTGCGTGCCCGACCACGTGACCGACCACAACACTTTGGCTGCCCAGCGAGCCGATCATCCTGGCGCGTGCCGCCGCCGCGGCCGCAGCAGCCGCCGCTGAGCGAGTTGAGTTGGTGACCGGGAGGCCGGGGGCCGGCTGCGATTGGCGGGCCGCCCAGAGCCCTTCTCTTCCTGATTGGCGGCGGCTGCCAACTCACTTGGCCGGCGCGCGAGTCGTTGGTTAAGCGTCGCTAATTGCGAACGAGATATGGCGGGATTAACATTCGGATCCGATTTATAAGGGGCGCCGGTTTGTTGCGCCTGCTGCTTAAATGGCCGGCTCCAGCGGGTAGTACTCGACTTAATGTCCCTGCCTGCAGTCGGCGGCGGTGGCAGTCAGTGGTCGTTTGTTGCTGCACCCAGAGTCATCAAGCCTCCTCAACGAGCTGGTTCTCCTCGGTGGGTATCACCTTTTTCTCCCCCCCCTCCCCCTTCTCTTGTTCCTCCCCCGCTCTCCGCTCCTCCCGCACTCCCCCGCGGCCACGCCCGTCTTTTGTTTCCGCCCACGGGCGTCGCGACGCCTCGGCGACGCCTAACCTCAGCTCAGTGTGCGCAACTGTGGCTAGCGAAAGTGGTCCGCGCCGGCGCCCCCCC